GTACTGTTTTCAGTGAAAGAAAATGAAAGTTCAGGATCGCTTAATCACTGTAGGATGTATTAATTATTCTCTAGGCACTGGTAACCTTTTTCTGTCTTTTCTAGCCACACCATAAGCACAAAAAGAGTTAGATTAGTAGAAAATTACCTTTCTTTTGTATTCTGTTGAATACAGGACAGATTCCCACTTTGAAGGGACAACAGACAGTCCTATGTGGGTTTCCACAAGCTAGAGATCTGATTCATCCTTTATTTCAGTCACAGTAGGAAAAAGCTGATAGATTTTAATGCAGTGAAGACAAGCCTCTTCTTAGCTATGACTTAAATACACAGCTGCTCAGTTAAACTTACTAAAACAATTAATATAGCCCATAGCCCCAGAATTCCACAAGAGAAGGGTGATGTGGGTTTTAGCACATTAAATATCTAGTCAGGTTCTTGCACATAGCTGTTAAGGATACACGCCTGCGCTTTACCTGCATGGTTTCTAACTGTTTCTGAACATGTTACGTCTGTATCCACCTCTGAAATTCAATCTGTAAGAAAGTAATATAATTTAGTAAAATTCTTTTAACAATCTTGCATATATAACTATATTTATATATACACGTGTATTTATGGTTTATTATTAATTCAGTGCTACAGAACTCACCATATCTGCCCTTATTTCACAGGCTGCTGACCCTTGATTGACTTCTTTAGTACATTTTAATAAACATAATACCAAGTGCAATTTTTCTTCACAGAGATATTATCAGAGTTTTATTGAGAGGATGGTGGGGTTTAGAATCTGGTATTAGTAGCTGATACTAACCTAGAATGTTTTCTGAAAGCCTACAAGAAAATAGAATTTCTGGGAAAAGTAGCACAAAATGTCCAGGGATGGGTATGCAATACAAAAATAGTGTAATCTCTCCTATTAATCTCATGAAATAATGGAATACAGTTTTCCTCCAGCTGGGAATTTACTTAGTCCCACAGAAAATAATGTCTCATGATTAAATTAATGAAGACCAAGCCCAGACCCTAAATGATAAAAACCCATGTCCATTTTTTTCCTCAGGTCTTAAGTTTTTCATTACCATTTCTATACTTACACACCAAACAAAAGCCTCCAATCTGTTTAACTGAAGGAGTAAGTCAGAACATTTATATTCAAACAAAATAAATCTAGAAGGAGGCAGGGACAATGTTCACCTGGCCCACCCTCTTGACCTACAAGAAATGTATTCTTTTAGATGTAGATGCAAAGAATTCTTCCTCACATTTAACCTTAGCATTTCGTGTACATCTTTTCATATGCTTCTGCATAGGAGCAGCTATGTTCTACTCTGTTAGATATAGTACAGGACAAGCCCTGAGCCCTTTTTGGAATTTCTGACATCTCTAGCATCAAACAAAATAAAATCTACATCACAACTTCTGTGCTTTATTCATCTCAGTTGATCTTTGTTCTTCAGATTTTCCTTAAGAAATATGAAAATCTGGTATTTCTTCAATGTCAATGGTCTCTAAAATTGAACTGTTCATGGGAACAGTTAAATCACCTTCCCCATGTAAAAATGTAGCTAATTTTCATTATTTAAAAAAATACTATTTAAAAAAAAATAATTTTAGAATCTCATTGCAACTTATAAATACCTAGGGAAATGGTTCAAAATCCCTATGTAAATGGGTTTTGAAATTCACACAGGTTTGAGAAGCACAAGATCAAGCCTATGTAAAAATCAAATATTATTATTTTATGTAAATTGTAAAATTCTGTGGAACCAATAGTGTATTAAATTTATATAAGAACTTAGTGAACATAATTATTATGTTTGTATGTATGATAATATACAATATTGACCACCGGTACAAAACAGGGTATAGACTGCATAAAAAAAAAATTAACTCAATTTATGTATTTAAAGTCTAATTCTTCCATAAATGTCAATGGCAAGACTAATTCACTTCACTGAGGCAGAAGCAGGATCTAAGAGGCCAGTAATTATGCCCTTCACCTTCATATTCACTCAGTTCTGTTCCGTTAACACACCTTGCCATTGCTGTGACAGTTATAAAGCATTTGTTCTGTAAATGAATAGTCAGCTTTCATGCAAGCAGTCCATTAGCATTAATCACGTGACTCTCACATGACACACTGACAAAAAAAGTGTTTGCAATACTTTTCTTGCCCATGGCAAATGAGTTGTTGTTAAGAAATGAAAAATAACGATTGAAAAATAAGATCAGAACAACTGCTCTCTTGACACCGTATAATTTCTGTTCTGAAACATGAAAAACTATGCTCTTTAGAGTAAATACGGAGGACGACATTTCTGTTGATCAAAATAAGAGTCTTTGCCTACTTCATCATTGCCCTTGATGCATAAATTAACAGTTGCATTTCCCAATATATTTCTCTTAGAAAAATTCTGAAGAATCCTAAATTTCTGGAGTAAAAAATATGCAACTGCACTAAAATAATTAAATGAACAGAGTCTCTAGCATTGATTATTATGATAAACAGATACTTTTTTTGGTCTTACCTAAAGAATTGTAAAGTATTAAAATTTTACAGCCTTCAAAACACATACCTTCACTAGAGTTTGACTGAACACTGCTATGCAGTCACTAAAAATAACCTGCATTAAGGCTTCTGTCTAACACGAAATTATGCTGAACCTGAACCAAATCATAGTGAATTCAGTATGAGGTTTTTTTCCTTCAACCTTAATTGGCACTGGATCAAGCCCTTTGCACACAATCTCCATTTTCTACATTAAAGCAATGCTTATGACTGTCAAAACAACATTTTTCCTTTCAATATCTAGTCAGAAACAGATTTTGAACACTGTCCCAGGACTCAGCAAAATGAAAGTCAGACTTGGATTTTTTTTTGTCAAATATTAATCTTCAGAAGCTTGCTATATTGCAGATGGAGATTTTAGCTGCCATGTTGTCCTTCTAAAAATAACTTGCAGTTTTCCAGTAAGCATGCAGTCATCTAGCAATATCAGTGTGCATTTATATCACAAAGCATCACTTCAGAAATCTATCTTTATAGGTTTCTATAATCAAATTGGAAACGCTGTACGTTTTATACATAAGGAAAAATATTTTTCAAATATTTAAAAACGTAACTCAAAGTCCTTTTATGTTTCACAGTGGAAGAAAAAATTAAAAAAAGACCACAGATAAATATTCTATTCATTATCACTTTCAAGAATTAATTGACTGGGTTTTTTTTAGTGTCAATGCTGGCGAAACACAGGAATGGAAGGTTAAGATATTTATTGTAAGCCAAGAAAAAATGTTTTGTATGAGTTACCTCCAAGCCAGAATACAATAGAATCCATTTTCAAGCTTAAAACAAAATACAATCAAAAGGCCATTTGTGACCCTGAGCCCGCATATCCTCCTTATGTTATAAAGTACCTCCAAATTTTCCAGCACCATTTTGGCCCTTTTCTTTAAAGGGCAGACACTATTTAGTTAGAAATGCACTTGAATGGTTTTTTAGTCCTGATCCAACTCCTACTGTTGCCAGTGGGATATTTTCTATTTAATTCAGAGGGAATTAAAAAAAAAAAAAAAAGACAAAAAAAAAACCACGAACAACTTAGTATCATATTAAAATGCTTCCTGTTAACAGAGATGCATTTGTGACTGCCCCAATGGCTTACCAGTAAGTTGATGGGACATGAACACTGTTTTTCTTGAACCCGCTGCAAGGCAAAAAAGCTGAGGTCACTCTCTGTATTCGCCGATGAAAAGCTGCAATTGTTTCATTTATAGGTAAATGCATTCTGGCTATTCTGAGAGTGACCTTGACAGCCAACAGTGTTGCCCTCACTGTCAGCAGAAAGAAGGTTGTTGGTGCCAGTGGGCTTTGGATCAGGCTTTAAAGACAGAGAAAGCTTGCTTAAGGAGGAAAAGAGATATAACAAATCATCCCAACTTCCCAGGTTTTGTCACTGAGAGTTTAGAATACCAACAAGACACTTTAAACCCTGGAGAATAATTGTTGTAAGTCAATTATTTTGACCCTGTATGTTTTGACAATCGTATACAATAATAAAGAAGAACAAATCTCTCTGGCTTACAAAAAAAAAGGCAAGTATTTTATTTATCAATAGAGATTTTAGCTGCTTTTTACACCATTGCAATGACTAAACAAAAAGCATAAAATAAAGGAGAGTATAAAATCATTTTATTCCAGCTGGTATCCCAAGACAACCTTTTGACTACATACAGAATTAGATGTTTCAAGTATGGCACTTACATAAATAAGAGCAGAGAGAAGGTGATATATTCACAGTTAAAAGCAATGAACTCTGTTCCTTTGGTATGTGTGTCATCACAGGTGCTTGTAGGTAAATATGTAACCTGGCTGGCGTGAACCAATTCCATCTTTTTCATGCACATATCAGGGAATGAACTGAAATGTACTGCTACATTTTGCAGATCAGAACTAATGTAAGATGATTAAGGTCTCTGGTGGGTGAGTGTGTGGGACAGGGTGTATGTGTGGACAGGCAAACAAAAAAAAAGGCAAAATTATATTCAGCATTTATTGTTTAGCATAGCTAACTGATGCACAAACTATGATAGAAAATAGCTAATAATACACACCAGGAATAAACTCTGTGATTTAGACAAGCAACATAATATAAGACATCTGTGAGATAGGTGAACGCAGATATCCTGATTGAGCTGTGGTCAGGTTCCTTACAGTGCAATTACCCTCCTTTTAAAACAAGCTTACATCTGCACATTGCAACAGTTTTCCCCACCCCATGCCACCCCATATAGAGTGTCCTTGCAGACTTTTAAAATGAACATTCTACATGTTTACAACAATTAGACAGTCTAGACTGTAAACTTATCCTAATGACGATCAAAAAGCCGCTTCACCAACAGATAACACCCGATCATTAGAAAGAAAAGTAGGATTAATAGTAGCTGTGCTGTAAGGCTAGATCAAGCATGGTTTTTATAGCTGGTTTTTCAGTCTTTTACATAGCATTGCATTTTGCAGCTAGTTCAGTGCAGATCCAATACCTTAATGGCTTTCTTGGTGGTTTGATAAAATGCTTGCCTAAGCAATGTACCTTTCTCTCTAACGGTATCTGGGTCTGTTCCACCTGGCACAGAGTTTCACACATAAGCTGAGTCACTTGACTGAGTCCTGCCAAAGTTGGGCATGCTCATTCTTGGCAGGTCCTTATTTCTGATTTCGTATATGGATTTCCTTTTTGCCTGTACTCCTCTCACTGCCATTTTGATCTTTCTCCATCCCAAGTGGTTCAGTTCTGCCAGATTGAGCACCACACAAATCCCACTGACAGCAAACATGAATACCAGGAATACAGTCTTCTCAGTGGGTCTAGAGACATAGCACTCTACTTCTTTAATGCAAGGGTATCTGTCACATTCATACATGGAAGGGACATTGAATCCATACAGAAAATACTGTCCCACTAAGAATCCAATCTCTAGGGCATTTCGAAAGACCACTTGGATGATGTAAAATCGAGAAATGCCTTCTTGCCTCCTCATCTTTGATTTTGTAGTTCTGATAGCAGGATTGGGGATTTCCTTCACTTCTAAGCAGTCTGGTTCTGCCTCTTTGGTGGAGTTCTCAGTGTTCTGCAGCACCCCATTGACAATCGTGTTCTTGATTTTCTTACTGTCCTCACGCTTCATCGAATCCTGGTCCCTCTCCAAGGTGAGGAAGACAGTGGAGTACCTCCGTTCCCTCTGCTTAGCAGACTGGTGAACGGAGTACGTTATGAAGCAAAGGCTAGGAGTGCACACCATGATGATCTGGAACACCCAGTACCTTATATGAGAAATAGGGAAAGCCTGGTCGTAACAAGCCTGGTTGCAGCCTGGCTGCAGCGTGTTACAGACAAACATAGTTTGCTCGTCATCGTACACCGTCTCCCCTACAATGGCCACAATGAGTATCCTGAAGATCACCACCACTGTCAGCAGGATCCTGGAAC